AGGGCTGTGGGGGCGCTGGAGCCGTCCTGCTGTCACAGAGAGACAGCACACCCTCAACAGGTCTCCAGTCTATCACTGAGGCAATTAAACATGCTCACAGTGACACTTACAGGCGTTCACCAGTCACACTGTGTCTTTGGGTTGAGTCCAAAATGCAGGACAAAGTTTCAGTGTGCAGGCTTGCAGTGGTTCATCTGTTGCATATCTTCCAGTGAGAGGGCTGTATGTCAGAACAGTGGCTTCTCTTCTCTTTTTTTTTACTATTTGAAATAGTAAAAGATCCACACATTTCAACTGTGTCTGAAGAAGAAAATTACATCTGTGGTTATGTTTAAACTCTGAACTTCTGAATTCTGAACACTTACAGTAATAAATAATAAATAGAGATTAAAGCAGAGCTCATGAAAACCCCACCCCAGCGTCCTCCACTGGACTGGATGAAAACGTACCATTTTGTGCTACTTTACATACGCTGGCAGCTTGATGCACTCTTCCTGCACGTCTTCATCTTTTGCTATTCATTCCTCATTCCTGGCTGAAGAATTGTCAGATGTTGTTACTATAGTTGAACAAATATTTTATTTATGATAAAACTTCACTAAACTATAACACATGTGTGTGTGCAGTCACACAATATAGTTTAACTTGAAAAGTGAAAGTACTTAATCTGCAGAAAGTGTCCCCCATGAGTGTTGAATGGACTGGTTCTTATACTCACAGCACACAACTTGCCTCACACTTTCTAACATTCACACTCATTCATACTCTGATGGATGCAGCACAGAGCAACTTGAGATAGTTGGCAGGCAGATTAGAGCAGAGTGGGATCAAACTAGTAGGTGACCTGGTCACAGCATGTATGTGTTATATGGATCTATATCATTGCTGATAGCATGTCTTTCTCCTGTCTTCCTTCTCTCACCCCAACCGGTCGCAGCAGATGGCCCCGCCCCTCCCTGAAGGGTCTACCTTAAAATATAAAGCGACTTGAGGTGACTGTTGTTGTGATTTGGCGCTGTATAAATAAAATTGAATTGAATTAATACTTTGAGTTAAAAGAACTGAGACTCCGATTACAATGATAGCTTCTGTCATTGCTTATATTGCTGCTCTGTGACAAAGCAAAGAGCAGAGACGACAGTATGGATTCGAGTTCATTTGTTTTTATTACACAAGTACACACTTTCATTCTCAGCCTCTCTAACACAGTTGAATCTTTGCAATGAATCTTCAGTATATTACAATAAGTAGCATTTAACCATCTGCACCTAAAGTACCTATACTTAGTCAAATGTGTGGTAAAGCTACAGATAATGAAGTTTAGATATTAATAAAACATATGTAATAAAAGACAAAGCTGAGACTGAATGAGTTTATCTATTTTCTTTCTCTGCCCTGTCAGGTTTGTGTCTGTAAAGGCCCTGAATGCTGTGATGTAAATA